GCAACTTTTGAGACTAATGTGCGCGGTGCTAATGCGATAGCAACATTCTGGAAAGGAACTGGCTTCCATCCTTAGAACCTTTTCGAATTTCCACTGCTAATGTGGGCGGCGCTGATGCGAGAGCCACATTTTGAAAAGGACCTGTCTCCATCCTTGAAGAGGTTGCGAAAATTGAAGACGAGCGTGTGGTGCGCTCAGGCGAGAGCTTCATGTTGAAAAAGGCCATTTGTTTATTTTCGGATCTGTTGCAAATTTCGAGTTTCAGAATGATGGATGGTGAGAAGGTCTCTGACGAAACGCCCGGTCCGGCCTACGGACAAGTCTAGGGGTGCGACAGGGAGGAGTTGTTTTCACGGGAATGGGATCGAGGAGGAGGATGAGGAGGAGGAAGGAAGAGGTGCATTACGGGGCAGGAGCAATATAAGGATGAGGGCAGAGGGAGGAAGGCGAAGTGAGCATGAATCATGAAGTAGGAGGATGAGGGAGAGGAGCAGGAAGAGGACGTGGTGAGGGGAAGGATGGCCTGAGAGAACCTCCGTACCGAGCCCCTGATGGCCCTTCATCCACCCCGATTCCCCCTCCCTTCGCCTTCCGTCTCTGCCCTCCTCAGAGCCCATCGCGCCTCATTCCCAGATTTTTGAAGAAATGATATATCCCCTCTTCCCGCTGCTACTTCTCCTCCCTCCACGAAGAGGAGCAGTAAGATCACGAGATAACGATGATGAAAATAATGAACAGGGAGAAAGGGAGGAGGAAGGAGTAGGAGGAAGGAGCCGGAGGGAGAAGGGAGTACAGAAACTCAGGAGGACGATTTCCTCCTCCTCCTCCTCCTCCTTCCTCTCTTTCTCCTTCTCCCTCTGTTCCCCGTCGTCCCCCTCCTCTCCCTTTTCCGCCTTCTCCTCGTGTCCTGCTCTTCCTTTCGTCCTCATCTGCCTTCTTCTCCAGCCCCCCCCCACGGCAGGAACGATTCCGCAGCCTGATTCCCAGTTACATCCGGGACTCGTCAGGCGCCATCGTTGTCTACGATATCACCAACCGCGCATCGTTCTTGAACACGTCCAAGTGGATCGAGGTTGGAGCCCCGCGGCCCGGGGTGGGGGATCGGGGATACACGGGGAGAGGGTGGAGGGTGGAAGTTGAAGAGTGTGGTGACGAGATTGCAGATGCTTGTTGGCGGCAGGACGTGCGGTCCGAGAGAGGGACGGACGTGGTCATCGTGTTGGTGGGCAACAAGGTTGACTTGACCGACAGGAGGCCCAGCCGAGCTGCCGCTGCCATCGCACCTGTCATAGGTTTCAGATGTGCATCTGCCGTCTCGGTACTATCCAGGCTGGCCCAGAGGTTTGTGTGTGTGTGTGTGTGTGCGTGTGTCCCTAACCCCTTTGGCTCAAGCCTTTGGCTCAAGCCGTCTCCTGGGGGTGTCCCTCCCCCTGGGGTCAGGGCTCAAGGGCCAGCGCTTCCGTACACATGTTAGCTCCCGTAGGTGGCTGCCCGGCCAAGAGCTAGCTTTTGTCTTCCACCAAACAGTCAGGGCGGCATGGATGATGACGAGGAAGGCGCTGGAAGTTCAGGCGATCGAGGCCGAGGCAGCTCGCTCCCCCAGGCTGAAGATGGCTTTCGAGACGACGGAACTGCGCCTCTTTCTGATGCTGCTTCCCTCCTGTCGGAGGAACGCCTCAACAGCGAAGCTGATGCGATGGCGGACCCCCTCGCGGTTGACCAGTCCCTAACCGATCTGACTTGCTTAGACAGCATGTCTTTGAATACGGCCTTTGTGACATGCAACACAGTACGTCTGCTCGTATCATGGTCTTCATACATGATGAGAACGCGCACCGACACTGTTACCCACAGTGCTGCCAAGTGTACCCCGCCGATTATGAAAACAAAAAAAACATGGGCTTGCGTAGACGTGACGGAGGAAGGTGACATGATTCTTGCGTGGGAGTGTGGTGTCTGTCACGGCCTCAATGCCCACGAACAAGCTCAGTGCCCGGAGTAATGGCAGGCACGGATTTGTGGCGCCAGCTGTCACCCTTACTACGACGGCAGAACCAACGGCCTCTGTCTCCCATGGCTCCTGCCCTTGAGGCAGGAACGCGACGATGCCCCGCAGACCGAAGGCTGTACACCACGCATACCAGATGGTAGGGATCTTTCAAACACCTGGGAATTCATCCATGCGACTATACTCGGACTCCTTGTCATGAGGGTGATACGTATGCGCTTCCAATAGCTGCATGTGTTTTGCGAAGAGCAGCCGACGAAAGTCAACCAACAAGTGCAACAAAACATTGACAGGGTCGTCTTGGACAGCAGAAACTATCGGACGCAGCTTCACATCCATATGCCCCCCCGATACCGACCCACCATCAGGGTGCGCTCCCATCGCGTGGGCCTCATCTCTTCGTGCCGCTCTCAGAGGTCTTTGGGATTGGACTGGACCGGCACGTGCTTGAGTCACCGAAGGATGATCAAGAACGGGCGCAGCTTAGTTGGATGCGGGCAGGGCAGAGATACCAGCGGCGAGTATTGCCCCTTGCCAGAGGTTTCCGCCCCGCCGATGAGACGCAAGGAAAGTGCGTCGTCAACGTTGGCAACTGTGCTAACTGCGGTTGTTGGCTGCACAACTGCTTACCGAGTCCAGTGCCTCGTGCAGAGCTTCACTATTTTTGCGCGCGTCTCACTGGGAAACTCCGAATAACTCGCGAGATCAGCTGGACCTCCGCGGCGCTCTGGCCGCCTGAGCTTGTTGACGCATCGGATGAGAGACTCGTGGGGCTCGCGAGCCAGGAGCGGCCAGGGCGGCAGTGGCACGCTGAACTGGCTATCGAGACGCGACCAGCACAAGGTCTCTGTGCGACAGGGAAGCTGTTGGTAACAATGCAATGCACAAGCTTGTGTGTTTCCTACGACAACCAGTGGGGGACATACTTGGCGAAACGGCTACCAATGACCTTTTCCAAGAAGCGCCGGCTGTCGGACGCATCCCTACAACTGAGCAGCTTGCTCGGGCCAGTGTGGAGTTTGGCGCCCTGTTCTACGTCGCCAGGCGCGCTGCGCCCGATGGCCCGCGGCTAACGGGCAGCGGGAGGTGGAACGCGATTCAAGTCAGCATTCAAGCTCGCCGGCTGCAGTTATGATGTCTAGCCATCGGCAGATGCGCGCGGCATTCTGTGCGAACAGAACTCCCGGACATGTTAGGTCTCAGCCCGGCTGAGGACGCCACGGACGCCGAGGACTCCGGCTGGGGAGGAGTCCCGTCTCGGGCAGATCGGGGCCGCTGCGAGGAGGGCGAAGGCATCGGCGAGTCGTCGTCGGCCGTGCCCCCTTCGCCGCCTGCTGGCCCCGACGCGTCCGCGACAGGGGGCGAGTCGGAGCGGTGTGCGCTGACGACGCAGTTTTTTTTTTTTTTTTTTTTTTTTTTTTTTTTTTTCTCTCTCTCTCTCTCTCTCTCTCTCTCTCTCTCTCTCTCTCTCTCTCGTGCCATCAGGGGCGCCCTCCAGGCCCCCTCGCCAATTTCATGCGTTGCAGGCTCTAGCTGTGTGGGCAGCGGCAGGACCTGGCGGGCGAGAGGTGCAGCTTCCCGCGAGATGCAGGCAGTCAGCTCGAACCGATAGTGGATGCCACAATGAGGACTTTTTCTCTTCCGTTGAGTTCCGAGTGCGAGCGGGCGGGCGCCCGTGCGTCGCGCTCGCGCATCGACGGGCGCTGACTTTCCTGATTCGCTCTCCAGCGGAACCGGGTCCCAGACAATTAAGGTCATGGCCATGGCGTGGCGACGCCGCGGCCAACTCGCTGCGATCTTCCGAGGACTAGGGCAATAATCTAGAGCCGTGGAGGGTATGCCGCTCGGCGGTAACGCGTCTCTGGACGGACCCGGGGGGCAGCGCCCGCGCGCGCGACATCCCGTCTTCCAGAGGAATCGAAGCCCAGTGCTGAGATCAGAACGACACTGCGCGCCCCCATGCTTGAGCCATGAAGGAGATCATGATAATCCCAGAGCTGGCCACTTACAGGTGGGCGCACGAGGGCGTGGGGGCACAGGCGCCCCGGGTATTTTCTCGGTCGAAAGCTGCTCTGCAGACTATGTTATCGCACAGTTCGCGGGCGCCCTGGGCAGGCGGGCGCTGGGCGAGCCGTCCCCGATCGCTGCTGTCGTGCTGACTACGCTCGACCACGTTCGAACCCGTGCAGCTGATCGCGGATGGGGACCGAATGTCGCGCCTGCTCTCCTTGAACTCCTGTCCGCATTTCTGTGGCTCATCGCGTCGGTTGAGCATCGAGTTGCGATGCGGGTGGCTGGGGGTGGTGGTGGTGGTGGTGGGGGGTGCGCAGGGCAGCGTCGCTTTTCTAGATGGGTCCAGCGTGTGCCGGGACGCGCTGCCGGAAGGGGCGCGTCGGCAGGGCTCCAACGTCGACGGGGAGGTGGTCATTGTCGGGTCTCCGCGGCGCTCGCCAGGTATGGCGGCGCGTCTACATCGCCTGAGCGGATCCGTGGAATGCGCGGGCGTTGTTTGGCTACGTTTGCGGATCTTCGTGTCGCGGCGAGAAAAATGGGTCAATCAGATGGATTTGCCGCGCCCGTGTCGGCCATGGAGCATTGCCGGGTCATAGGTCTATGCTCTCCCCGTCAATGGGCGTGGGGGCGTGGTTGGGCTGGCGGCGCGAATCGCTTGTGGAGGAAAGGGAATTGCGCCGTGCCTTCGAGATCCCCCCCTGGCACCTCGAGGCGCCCAGTTGGCGCTCGATCGCCCGCCCAAGCGTTGCCGCCCACCTGGTTGACGGCGACGGAGCGCGGGCAATGCCTCGTTAGAGAGCAGCTCGGGGGGCCAACCTGATATTAAGGGGCTTGCATGTGCTGGTGACTTGGCGGGGGATGTAACGGGTTCATGCGGCTGCTCAGGCTCGCTCAGTCTTCGCTGACGAAGCGCAGGGGGTCTCCATTCTCACCGATATGATGGATATCCGAACCCCCTTCCAGCACCTGCGAGTACCTCGACGGGGCGCTCCAACGACAGATTTTGGACATGGCGGACCCGAAGGGGTGGGCCACGTTGGACCTCTGCCAATCTGGTCCCAAGAACCCTCGAACCGTGGAGCCGCTGGCCGCGCTAATTATTTTTAACCGGCTGGGCATGGAAGAGATGCGGAACTGATGCGCTGACATGGGTGGGCACGTGGCGGACAGTCAGAGAATGATGTGACACCGCGTGTGGGCTGCGCGTGGTGTCGTGGTGTGGTTGTTTTCGTTTTGCATTCCCGGGCGAGGGTTCCTCGGTCGCCCGCGCGGTTGCCGCGCAATAGTCATGTGGCGCGCGAGCATCGAACGTGCTAGGCGGCGACCCGCAAGAGTTGATGACCAACTACGGGGGGATATGGCTGCTCCTTCCGTGCTTCTATAGACGGCATTTTCTCGAGTTCTCATCGATTTAAGGATTGCTGTCGTCTGTTGCCTTGTCCGCTTATCTCCCTCCCCCCCCGCCCGCCTCGACCGTGTCGCCGCTGAGGGGGCGGGGGTCAGGGGGTAGGTTTCGGAGGGGGGGTGCCGTGGTGGTGGTGGTGGCGGGGTGGGGTGGGGCGGGGGGGTGGGGTGGGGTGGGGTGTGTGTGTGGGGGGGGGGGGGGGGGGGGCGCGGAGGGGTCTGCTCGAGGTTCCCCCCTGGAGTTCCATTTCATGCTGGAGCGCTCGGAGCCTCTGGGGACGCCTTGGGCCAGGGGCACTTCTGGCAACGCCCGATACCTGGAGCTAGAGGCCGAGCCCGAGCCCGCGGGCGGCTGCGGCTGCGGCTGCGGTAGCAGCAGTCAAGGGCCAACCGTCGCCTCGTTTTTCTTGATCGCTTTCGGGGGCAATATCGCGTGCGCTGGATTTCGGAGGTCCGCGCGGATGCTGTGGGTCGGGGCCGTGCTCCCATTCTCACGCCCCTTCCCTGGTGCGCACTCCGAGTGTTCATTCTTGCTCTGTCTCTCCTCTTCAGCTTTCCTCCGCGAGTGATCATCCACGCTTCCAGGGCTTCGACGGTGCCCTTTAAATTCCAGCTGGATTCATGGACCAGTCGTCCTCCGTCGTGTCATCGGGGCATCGCGACTTCCGTTCCTTCAGATGCTGGACTATGCACCCTGGTGGGGCAGGTTTGGCGAGCCAATCAGACCTTCGGATCCCTCTTTGATTTTTTATTCACATCCCTTCAGTTTTGTTCAACGTTGGGGCCCTCGTCGATCGCGGCGCCCAAGTTGGGGGTCCAAAAAGGGTCTGGTCATCGCTCGGGTCGGCGGAGTCCCTCCAGGTGATGACCATGAGGCCCGAGTACTGACCTTACCCATTCGGACCCCCAGGGGGCAGTTCATGGTTGATTGGCCAGGTCAGTGCTCGGGCGGCTCTGGTCGGATTTCAGCATTTCCCTGCGAACCCAGCGCTGACATGACAGTTTGTCGGTTCCCTGAACTTTCCGCGCGGAAGAGGGCCCTTCACCCGCAGTCTTCCGCCAGCGCCAAGGCTTGCCCTGGAGACCGCCAGGTCACGGCGTGTGCCCTCGCGAGAACTCCTGCCGGCCACGGCTTCGCCTGGGCTCGTCCCAACATGGCCGCGCGTGCGCGCTCTGCCGCCGCCGCCATCTTTTCCGTGGCGTGTGGGTGGCTCTGGCCGTTGTGACCCCCCCGCCAGTGGCCGCTCCCGTGGCTGCGAGGTGCCAGCGTACATCTTGCGTTCCAGAAAGGACGGGCCTTGCCTTCGAGAGTCGAAGGACTTTGCGTCTGCCCGTCGGCGGAAGGCCAGTGGAAGGTGGCGCAAGTATAACAAGGCCGCCTCCGCCAGCGGAAGCCGGCGGAAGGCTGGCCGAAGCCAGTGGAAGTAATAGAAGCGCCCCAAAATATGGCAACGTTTTTGGATTCATGGTTCTTGGAACCCGTCGCATGAGTCTCCCGTGAGAGCTGTTGAAGGTTCAAGCCAAGCCTCGAATTTTACCCGCGGCTGGGGTGGTCGCGCTGTTACCCACTGCGGGCCGCGCAACACCCCTACCCAACGACGATGGCCACGACTCCATGCAGCAGCCCGCTGGCCTCTGCCGACGTCGACGTTCCGCCCGATTTCGTGTCCTCCCCAGGGTCGGCGGCCCGCGTGGCCGCTACCCGCGCCGCCATTGAGACCCAGCTTTGGCGCGCGCGGCGCCCGTCGTCCTTGTCTCGGTCGTTCGTCCTGCGTCAGTGTTGCGCAAACGGCCCTCCGAGCTGCGCTGTCCAACGGGCCCCACGGCCCACCCCAGGAAGGCGCACACGGCGCCCAACACGCGGCCACTGACAGCCGCTGCCCGCCCTGCGGGGCCCCGGCGGGGCTGTAAGCGGCACTCTTGGGGTGGTCCGCAGCGACGGCCACGAGCCCCTCGCAGCTGGGCCGCCCCGGCCGCAGGTCGCCGTGCTGGCCCGAGCCCAGGCATGGCTGCGGCCAGTCGTGCCGCCTCGCGCGGGGCCACGGCTGAGGACTCCGCCGCCGCATCGCGACGCGAGCTGCCGACGGGGTGCCGCGTGCCGCGCCGGCTCCCAGAGGCTGCCCGCGGGCCGTCGTCTCGCCACCCTCCCGCATCCCGCGCCGACGTCGCGCGGGCGCCAGCAATGAGGCGGCTGCCTGCTACCTGCGCCCACCGCCCAGCCAACTCGACGGAGCTGTGTCAGGTGGTCACGCTCTGGCTCGACACTCCCCGTGGCATTTTCGAGAGCTGCGCATGGAGGTCAGCTGCTGGTGGAGTGTCTGCGGTGCAAAACAGAGCTGCAACTCGGCCCCCCTCGGTGCCTCGCTCCTCCGCGCCCCGGTGCTCTTGGTGCTCGCTGCCGGGAACCCCGGAGCTTCCCGCCTGCCCGCCCGCCTGCCTCGTCCTCGTCCCGCCAGCCCTGGCCTCCTGCCTGCGCGTTGTCCGTCGTCTGCTTGTGCCTCGTTCCCTGCCTCCCTCCTCCGCCGCCGCGCAGCGCACAGCCTGTCGGGAGCAGGCGGCGCCGTCACGATGGGCCGGAGGGCCTCCCTGTCCCGTGGCTGGTTCTGTGGTGAGGACTCGCCCTCTCGGGGCGGCCCAGGCTGAACCATTGGCCTCCATGCGGCCCCGAGTTTGATGCCCGTGCGCACCGCCGTGGTGCTGCTCGCGTGGGTGGAAGGCGAAGGCCCACCCCTTTCGCTACTTCCAGGCTCGTGGCCCCGCATGGGAACAGGGTCAGCGGCGGCTGCCGCCGTGGCCCGGTCATCGTTCAATCGCGCGCTGCTCCTCCCCTCTCCCTCATCCCTCCTCGCTCCTCTCGCCTTTCCCTTCCCCTCCACCTCCTCAAACCCTCTTGCCACTTGCCTCATGCCTGCTCTGCCTCCTCCTTCCCCCCCGACCTCGAGCTCCCTCCCCCCCTCCCCTTGACTTGAAGCTCTCCTCATTGCTCCTCCCTTTACCTTGCTCCTCAAGCCCTTCTCTCTCTTCACTTCTCTCATCCTCCTCCTCCTCATCCTCCTCCTCCTTCTGTTCGGCTTCAACTCTACCTCCAGCCTCTCCCCCCTTCCCCCTCCTCCCCCTCTCGACCTCCTGCAACCCTCCTTCCCCTTTCTCCCCCCCCTGCCTCTTCCCCCCCTGCTCCCTCCTCCTCCATCCCTTGACCCCCTCCCGAGCCGCCCTCCCTCCTCGCCATACGTGGGCGTGATTCAAGTTTTGTCATTTTTTGGCCTGGCCGAAGTAATAGCTACGATGCATCCAAACGCTCGTTTTCCAACCGTGTGGAAATGGATTCTATTGTTTCGAACCGACGTGGAACCGTCAGAACAACCATTTCTGTGAGGATGTCCCACGCGGTTTGCCGTTTTCGAACCGCCATCCCATTGTTTCGAACCGAGTTGGAACCGTCAGGACAACAATTTTCGTGAGGATGTCGAATGCGGTTTGCCGTTTTCGAACCGCCATCCATTTGTTTCGAACTGGGTCCGACGCCGTATTTTGAGGGAAGTCCCGCGCGAAACGCTCATTTTGTATTTGTTTCGAACTGGATTCTAATGTTTCGAACCGAGTTCGAACTGTCTTGAGAGCCACTTTTGTGAGGATGTCCCACGCGGTTTGCCGTTTTCGAACCGCCGTCCATATTGGCTGAATAACCTTTTTATTCAAGGTACCAGACCCCAGGTTCGAACTCCGCCCCGAAAGCGAGGCACCTCCCCCCCTAACATTGCACCAGGCTCCACGTCCCTGACGGGGCGACTAGCGACTCGTGCTCGCATTGCGGACGAAGGATGGATGCACTTTTGGCGACCCGTCATAATGGGGCAATCTGTCATCACGGCACAGCAGTCTTGCTTTCGAGGGGCTTGGGGCAGGAGCGATCGAGGAGGCGCCCTGGCCGGCAAGGCAAGTCACCACGGAGGAGGGGGAGCAGAAGGCGAAGGAGAACGGGGTGATGTTCATCGAGGCCTCCCCCTTGGGGCCCGCCGCTCGCCGCTCGCCCGCGAGAGGCGTGGGGGAGGACAGGGCGCAAGGAGGGAGGAGGCAGGCGAGGAGGTTGAGGAGGAGGAGGACGAGGGGGAGGCGAAGGAGTGAGGATGAGGAGTCGGAAGGCGATCAGGTGGAGGAGGAGGAGGAGGAGGAGGGGTCGGAGGCTGAGGATGATGATGGTGATGATGAGGAGGAGGATGAGGAGGAAGAGAGAATGAAGATGGTGGGGGGAAGGGGTAGAAGGGTCAGGGGGCAGGAGGGGGAGGTGGAGGAGGAAGAGGACGAACAACAACAACAGCAACAACAACACCAACAGCACCACCACCAACAACAACGACAACAACACCACCAGCAACAACATCAACAACAGCAACATCACCACCAACAACAACAGGAGCAACGCCAACACCACCACCAACAGCACCACCACCAACAACAGCAGCATCATCACCACTAACAACACTAAAAACAACATCAACAAGACCAACAACACCACCGCCAGCAGCAGCACCAGCAACAGCAACAACAACAACAACACTAACAACACCAACAACAACAGCAACACCAATACCAACACCAATAACAACACCACCACCACCAGCAACATCAGCAGCACCAACAACAACATCAACACCAACACCACCACCAACAACAACGACAACAACACCAGCAACAACATCAACACCACCACCTCCAACAACAACAGTGGAAGCACGGAGACTCCAGCCCCGGTACGGGGACGCAGGCTCAAGGGTCACACCCCAGTGGAGCAACGGACACTCCGGCCCCGTGGGTCCTGTGTTGGCGCAGCAGGATCGGGGGCCCCCAAACGGGGTGGTGACCACACCGTGTGGTGAGTCGGTGGGGATTCGGGGTCACCGCACGGTTTTGGGACTCGGGTCGTTCTCCGAGGACGTCTCGGGCGACTGGGGCATCCGAGGTCCCAAAACCGTGCGTTGACGGACCGTGCGGTGAGGTCTCGGAGGGTTTCGAGGTCACCGCCCAGTCTGTCACCGCACCGTTTCGGGACTCCAAACAGGAGGAGGAAAAGGAGGAGGAGGAGGAGGAGGAGGAGGAGGAGGAGGAGGAGGAGGAGAAGGAGTGCCTCTCTCTCAGAAGTATCAGGCCTTCTCGCACCAGGCTGAAGGCTTTCTTTTAAGCAGATCGGGGAAGGATATAGCAGTGCAACGAAGAGGAGACTGCCTGCGGGTTCAGGTTTCGACCCTTTTCACAGGACGACCGCCAGGATGTTTTTGGAAATGATCGGGACGTGAATTTCTGGGGCGGCATCAGGTCCAGGATCCAGGAACTGCTTGTCATCCAGGGGAGGAGGAAGCAGAAGGAGGATATGAACCAGGAGCGAGCGATCTGCCATCAGCTACGAGCTTGGGTTGAAGACCCAACGCACCTCAAGACCCTCGTTGCAATGCCAGAGGAAGTACGTCAAGTGGGACAAGACCTGCTGGCAGAAATTTCCGAGCTCTCAGGAGACCAGGAAAAGGTACGCCCCCTGCTTAATAAAGCCAAGGAGGTCTTGGCAACAGTAAGTCTCGCAGCCATGAAGGAGAAGGGTGAGGGTTTCCAGACGTACTTAAACCAGAGTCTCAACCAAGGGGCCAGCTGGGCCCACCGTTTCACGAGGACCTGGGAACAGCCAGAACCGAGTCTTGGAATTGAGGTTGGCCCTAATGGGCAGAGCTTACCGGCCCTGAAAACATCTTGCGCAAAAAGGCGTTCAGTCGGGCTGAACTCTGGAAGGGCACCGTGGGCTTCGAGAAGGACCACTTCCCCGAGTGGCTGCGAAACCTCAGGGAAAAAGTCAGGGAGCAGCAGCAGGACAACACCCTCCCCGAGCTGACCCTAGAGAACATGACAGAGGGCATGAGGTATTTCAAGGCCCACGCTGGGCTTGGCGCAGACCCCTGGAACCCGAGAGAGTGGCTTCACCTACCGCGAGCGGAGAAATTTATGATACTGGAAATCTTACAAGATGTAGAAGAGCAACTAGCGTGGCCCCAGCAAGCCCTCATAAACATCGTGGCCATGACCCCGAAGCCCCCACCAGGAGGAGATCGTCCGATCACGCTGACCCCAGGGCCCTACCGTCTGTGGAGTGTCTTGAGAAAATGGCCAGTGACCACGTGGGAGAGAGAGAGAGAGAGAGAGCGCGCGGGCTTCTGGGATTCCGCAGCGAAAGGAAGCAGCCCACTGAGGGCGGCAGTTTTGAGACAAGTGAAAACGGAAACCTGCGGGCTCCTGAACATGCACTGGGTCCAATTCCTCTGGGATGCAGAAAAGTGCTATGACCTCATCCAACCGTCAACCCTTGCAGATCTGGCTCAATCGCTCCAGTATCCGCTAGTTCCTTTTTATCTTGCCCTGCTGCGGCACCTCGCGGATCGTTGGCTGTCAGTGGGCCGAGTTTTTCTGAAAGTATACATGCTACCAACTTGATCATTGCGGGGTGCATGCAGAGTGTGGCCTGGTCACGAATGTATCTCTGGGACATGCTGGACGACATCCACAGAAGGTTCCCACCCCCATTCAACCATATTGACAGCTGGGTGGACGATTTGGCGCAACTCAATATCGGCAGTAGAGGTTCAGTTCTTCGACAAGCAACGGAGGTAGCAAGCACTCTGGTCACGACAACGATTCGGGAAGGCCAGAGGATCTCAAACAAGTCAGTGGTGTTATGCAGCACACCGGCACTGCGAGACGACCTTCGACGTGCCATCATATCCCTCGGCCTCCCGATCAAGGTCGACACGAAGTCTAGGGACTTGGGCATAGACGTAATTAGCAGTGCGAGGACACAAGGGGTGATCAAAGTGAGACAGCTGAAGGGCTCTCGCAGAGCCCGCGCCATTAGGTTTTTAGGCAGGACTTCCAAGGGCTCCAAGAAACTGGCCAAGACGTGGCACAAACCACAGGTTGCCTGGGGAGCCGTTGCCAGGGGCCTAGCGCCCACGACTTTACGGAAGCTAAGAGCTCAAGTTTCAGCAAAGTGTGGTAGCAAATCGGCAGGAGGTTGTGCGACCACCGCCACTCGCATAAGCGTAGGAAAGTACATCGACCCGACGTTTTGGGGTCCCTTAAAGCTTCTTTTGGTTTGGCAGGGACACCTCCCTAGGATCCACCAGTGGAGGGTGGCGCTGGAGCGTGCCTGGCAGGAGTAGCTGAAGATGCTCCAGCAGGCCCCCAACCGCCGGCAACGCGTGCGAGGGCATCTCGCGGCAGTCCAAACGACACTTCTAGATATGAGCTGGGTACCTAATTCGCCAGGGGAATGGACCACCCCGCGTGGGGCAAATATTAAGTTTGAAGGTGCAGCAGGACCATACACCCTTCGGTTCGAAGTCGGGTCCTACCAGGAGCAACAGAGTTGGGCCCAAGCCAGTAAGCACTTTGAGGACTCGGGGGCCGAGTTCGGTGTTGACTTGACTGTGACTTGGGCCCACCTCGAGCATCTGCGAGCCCAAGGTTTGACAATTTAGCAGCAGTTTTAGAAATGATTAGCCAGGGTGCCATGTGGCCTGTCAGGCGAACTTTTGAAAACACAATGCTCGGCTCACCCACCTGCCCAAGATGTGGGGGGCAAGAGGAGACGCTTTACCATCGGCTATGGGAATGCCCATGTAATTCGGGAACCGAAGCCCTAGCCGATGAGGGCAACTTAGCAGAGCAAGCGAGAGTAGGAGCACAGCAGTTCCTTCGTTTTTGGTTACGCGGCCTGGTCCCAATTTTATGGACCATGGAGGATGCGGATTTGCCAGTTCCTGCAGAAAACGCGATTTCCAAAGGAGATTGGCCAAGTGAAGGCCAGCTGGAGTCTCCCCTAATGTCACGTTAGGCAGTGATGGCTCGAGGGGTGAGCACTCTAGGGGCGCCCGCCTGAGAAGGATTGGATGGTCGTTCGCCGTCTGCGTCGATAATCGAGTCAGGGCGCCCCTCAGAGGTAGTGTAGCAGGCCCGCGACAGACGGTCCCAAGGGCAGAGCTAACAGCAGTAGTTAGAGCCCTCCAAAAGACCAGCGGAGACGCCACAGCAGAAATATATGCCCCTCGAAAGGGCCGCCGGGAAAGGTACACTTCGAATGCTGAACTTGGGCCGGAAGCTGGGAGGCTGCGGACAGCCACCAGGGAGCTTTCTTTCATAAGAAAGTCAAGAGCCATTTCGCGGAAAGCGAGATAGGCAACATCATCGCAGGCGGTCGTTGTTTTGCGAATGACGCCGCTGACATATTAGCAGAACAAGCAGCCTCCGAGGCTGCGCCACCCGACAGGTTAGTTTTCAAGATGAGAGAAGCCGACAAACTGGCCTGGCGGGTCCAAAGACATTTAGTGTCCGTGGGCCTAGAATTGGCCACGGAAGCGAAGGACCTCTACGGGGCCAGTTTAGAAGGCGATTCAGCGGCCCGTTCTAAGCACAAGTCCCAGGATATAGAGGCTGTCAGGGTAGCTGCGATGAGAGATACCTCCCGTCGGCTAGAGCACTTCGAGAAAAAGGTTTCGGATTAAGTTTGCCTCCGCAGCCCGAGCCAGGCAGTCGTCATTCATTTCTGTGCAGATCCTTGTCGTGGGCGCCCTTTTCAGATTCACCCCACGCACCGAGTGGGGCAGGTGCTAGGACGTTCGTTCTATAGGGCATGTGCTGCCCAGGGAGTCACGCGTTTCATTCAGTTATCGTCCCCTTGTGTGCCTGACCCCAGCAATGATGGCAAGATCACGCTCAAGAGGATAGACGGTGGGCGGCTGCCCACAGGACTGAAGCATTGGCCAGACTCCGTACCAGGGGTTTGAAGGGTCCGCAGTCGTCCCGCGATAGCCTGGCCGACGACTGCCCGCTGGGTTCGTCGGCTCAGGCTGCCTCGGGGAGTCTTGCGGGCTCTCCGAGCCCGCTGGGGAAACCAAACCTTTCAACTTTGTTTTTTGGTGCCAGTGGTCCCATACCGCGGAAGAGGTACCCCATGGGTTAGGGGAGAGTTCTTTCGCCTGCGAGGTTCATGTTTAAAGAGGTGGCGAAGTAACCTTCGGTTGCGCCTCAGGTGGTAGCGCAGGAGGAGGAGGAGGAGGAGGAGGGGAAGGAGGAGGAAAAGAAGGAGCAGGAGGAGGAGGCGGAGGATGAGGAGGAGGAGGAAGAGGAGGAGGAGGAGGATGCCGAGGAGGAGGAGGAGGTTGTTGTTGATTTTGTTTATTATTATTATTGTTGTTGTTGAGGATGATGATGATGGTGGTGATGATGATGCGGATGGTGATGATGATGCTGCTGCTGATGATGATGATGAGGATGATGATGATGATAATGATGATGATGACGATGCTGATGATGATGATCATGATGATCATGGTGATGATGATGCTGATGATGATGCGGAGGATGAGGATGAGGATGAGGATGACGATGCTGCTGATGATGATGCTGATGATGATGATGAGGATGATGATGCTGATGATGATGATGATGACGATGCTGATGATGATGATGATGCTGATGATGATGATGATGATGATGATGATGATGATGATGCTGCTGCTGATGATGATGATGAGGAT